TATCGTAATATTTATCCGTTAATATTAATTACTCTTGGCATATTCTTATTATATTTTCAAGCAAGCAGTACAGTTCGAGTGGGCTTGGAATTCTTGTTATCAGATTGAGATAACATGATGGGTGTGATTAGAATTGTCAAGATGCATGGTTTTCTTCTATGCGTGGGATGCCAAGATGAAATCTCTGATAATGGAGCCGCTCATATCCTAGATGGGATAATTATTAGCATAAAAATATATGCTAATATATGCAAATTGGTTGGCTGACTCCATCAAATCCTACGGCCAAGGACCAATAAGGATGTGGAGATTTTGAATTAAACAAAGTTTTATTTGGTTGGATAACTGCATGATGACCTCATGCGATTATATTTGTTTGATCCCGTCAAACGTGGATGCTTTTTCATGGTCTTTTTAAATTGGTAATGATCCAATTTGAGATAAGGGCTGATGGGAGTTTAATCCGCACATGCAAACCACGCCACATATCAAATACAATTCTTTGAAGATCAAGCCACGTCAGGCATGCTCGTTCCTATAAATACAAGGCTACAAACAATGGAAAATGACCCCTACAAAATCAATACAAAATTGCCCTGCGCAAACTCTCACAACTTGTGATTTTTCTTTTTCCTTTCTTCGCTGACACATCTTCCGTTGGCATCAACACCACTGTGGAAGCAACCGGTGATATCTTAAGTCGGCATAGATAGCTCTGTCACCGTAGAGTCAGTCGGTCTCGCAGTATCTTCCGTTGGCATCAACAGCACTGCGGCGAGGACGACTGGTTACCTATCCAAGTCTCGGTCGAGAAGGATTTCCGAATCCCTATTGGTCGAGGTCATCTCATCAGCCTTCTCGGCGAAGTGAGGTGTTACCAGGTTACTGTATTCGGCATATTGACAGCCGAATTTGAGATTGAACTTCGCAAATTAGCAGCCTTGTCTTCAGGCTCTAGAACCCAAGAGGCCGAGAATTGTTCCTTCCTCGGCCGCAATCGCAAGACACAGAAGTCAACGGCGCGCTCGACGCAACATCATCAAATTTACTCCTCGGCCGAGCTCGGCCGACGAGTTGGCACGCCCCGCAATCACCGAAGGACGTAGTTAGCTTAGAAAATACTCGGCATGCGCGCCACGTAGGTTTTTGTAGTTTCTAGGGTCAACAATATGAGATACCAATCTTCAAACTGAAGGAATAACTTGTTAGATCAAACACTTTGAAACTGCATCAACATGTGAATATTTTCCTGTAGTGTGTACTTATGGACGAAATTGAAAACGGTGATTCAAACTTTAAAAGAAATGCAGAATTGGGGATGTTTGTACCACATTACATCGACCTCAAAAACACCGAGTACTGGTCAACTAGGAAGCCTCAGTAACCCTCCAAAGGATCCCCGCTTCAGCAAGGGTGCCGAACCCACGATCAACCTCAAAACAAGTGAGAGTCACGATACGTGGTTATTCCCGTGAGTCCTAATGTGAGAATTCTCCCCAACTTGGAGTCAATCACAATGCAACAAGTGCAACACCACATTAATACATTCAAACCCACATTGGCCAAAGTCAAGAAATCTACTCAAACTTTGCCTCTATAAAAAGGTAACTTCTGCTCCATTCAAAGGGTTAATCACATTTACTATCCAACACTATTTACCATAAAACTCACCCACGCAGCACCCTAAACTTACTAGCTAACTTAATCGAAGGCTCTTAGGCTAGTACCACACCCTTCGATACTTACTCTATCTTCCTTGCAGGTTGCTTTGCCCGTCTACCTTTGACCAGAGCGCCCTCACGAACATCCTCTCATCACTCTTTAGTCTTTACATTGATTCAAGATCAAATCGATTTTGTGCATCAACAGGAGAGGTCTCAAAAATCAGATAGGGTCTTAGGTGTCTCCCTCTTTTTGACCTGCTCGGAAATTTAGAGCCGCCCAATCACTAGGGACCAACATTTCAATTCGAAGTATTTCTGTTCTAATTTGCAACCCTACCTTGTTGTATCCTAGTATAATTAGGTGCAAAAACACAGATAAATTCCACTAAATCATCATCTAATTAGCCATTTATTTGAATTCTGATAAATAATCCCTATCCAGCATGAACTGATTTACAAGAAACAGACACAATTGCATTTGCAATCAATCAAAGTTGAATTTAATTAGCCATTTATATAACTAAATTGAATTAACTACCAACTAATTTGCAATCCAAATTTCACAAATATTGCTAATAAGATTTAGTTTTGGGGTTTTTACCAGGATTATTCCATGCGATTAACGAACGATCAAATCGCTTCCACGCCACGAATCGTTGGGGATGCAATCAATGTGACTAGCCGATGATGGAGAGAATCGACTCGGCCACGATCGCAGGGGTCCATTGCACGTCGTCGTTTTGGTCTTCCAAAGCTGTGAAGTGGAAAGTAGAAAGCATGAGGAGGAGAGAAACTGGGTTTTTCCTTCCTTTTTTTGTTTGGGCCGACTGGCGATTCTATTTGCTTATGAGCCCATTTTGTGTTATACACTTTGGACCTACTATTCTAAATCACTTTCATCTTCTTCTTTTTTTTTTTTTTTTTTTTTTTTTTTTTTTTTTTTTAATACAAGCGATAGCAAGGGAGCGAAAATTGATTTCAAGTCTTCAGAATGAAAATGAAAATGGCAATGGCAGAGCCAGAGCTATGTAGGAATCTGGGTGGTCCAGACTAGAAACAGTGACGAAGCTATACGAGAACTAGATTGGTCTTGATTTCCTTGTGAGTTTAGTTTTATTAGTGATTTTTTTTTCTTCAGTATATATATTAAATCATCTAGTACTACGGTCTAATAATATTTTTCTTCACTAGTTCGACTCTCTTGGATTGTGAAGGCTGTGTTGAGTTTGATACCCAGCCAATGATTGCCCCTCATATTTTGCGGCCTAGCCTAATTCCTCATCCCCTTGGAATATAATTTTCTCCTGCCCTAGAGTAGAATATCATTGTAAATCAAAGGGAGGAAGGAAGAGTGTGTCTCAGGCAGGAGGGTTTAGTTTGATCTAAAAGCCATGCACTATATTGAACTCTCTAATTTATCGTTGACAAAAAAGATAAGTAAAAATGAAAATGTTGAAATGAAAAGGTACGTGAGAAGACTGTTAATATTCTCCTACATTCTCTTTCACTTGAAGGACTTTGAACACTTTGAGAGGCCCATTCTAAAACTTTCAATCTTATAGAACTTGAAAAGGGTTGCAAGAGCTAATTAGTACTATAATTTAGTGACATTTCTCTTTATTTGTAAAGGAGAGGTCTCAAGTTAGACCCTAATAAAATACCGTTTTGACATTCATATTTGGTTTATGTGTCAGCAATATTAGATTTCGATCAATTTAGCAATAAAATTTTTATATTTCATTATTTAGCAAATTTTTCTTGTTTAATTTATTTTATAAAGCCACACCTGAGAAGGCAGAAAGTGCAGGTTTGTGAAACAGTCATCCCAACAACAATGAAAACTAATGGCATGTTTACTTTAGTTGAACACTACATATCAAAGAGATGGACTAATAGTTTATCACCAATTACACCGATATTGTCATCAACTTGACCATATGTCCCAACCTATAGACAGGAGACTTTATCACAAAGCACGTTGATCCAATTAAAATTGGAACGATGATTTGTTTTAGCCAACATATAGGACTTTTAAAATTATTCAACACAATCATCTTAGAAATTGATGGGATTACCATTCTAGATTGCAATAGGATCTCCTTATAAAATGTACCTTTGGGTACGCTTCCTCCGCCATCAAACTTCGAGAATCAACAAGAGTTCAAAGCGAAAATCAACGAAAGAGGAGCGCTATATGGACGCCGGTGTTTTTAGGGCTGTGACTTTGATGGGCATGCTTGCGCTTGCTATAGCTCAAGACTAAAATTAATCATAAGAATTAATTTGATATTATTTGGCTACAACTGTTTGGGTTGAAACTTGAACTTTTGGCTCAAGAAGGAGTTGGCCCAAAAGGAGGTCTGAAAAGGGGAAAAGCCCGAAGCCTAGCCAAAGCCCAGAAGGCAGAAAATGCCTTTCCCGATTAGATGCAGATCATTTGCACCACTTGCTCACCTGCCTAGAGACCAAGTGATATAGACCAGCCAGCTACTCAGCCCAAAAGCACTTTACAGTGGCAGTACAAGTAAATAGCTGATGAGTCATTACCCTTCAAGCTGCATTCGGGCAAGATTACTGCTACAGGAGGCCAAACCGAAGTGTCTATAAAAGAAGAAAGAAAAATCAGAGATAAAGACACTCAATCAAACAAACAAATACAAGCACAAACTCTGCTCAAGTTAGATTTTCCTTCAAACGAAGCTGTAGTCAGCCCAAGCCTTCATCCCTTTCGGGATGAATTCTCACCAAAAGCTTTTATAATAGCTCTGCTACCTTGTCCTAAGCTTGTTGTAGTATCGATCTCTTTCTGTAAACTCATCTCCCTACCCCCTTTTATAAAGCTCTCAAACCCCTTGATAAACCATAAAGATCGGAAGTTGCAAGACGATCAGCCTTGCCCGACCCTCTTTGGTTTTGTCTTTTCATTCATTAGCCTAACAATATGTTGTATACTTCCAGTTGTATTCAAGTTATCTCTAGTAAGATGATGATTAAAAGACTCTCTCAGTTCTTGAATCCGATTTGAATATGTCTCCACAGTTTAAATCAGATCTAACTTCTAAGCTCTCGGGATCATTCAAAAGTCCTTGGTCTCAAGGCATAAAAAAAAACCTTATGTGGACTTAACCCATCTACGACAAGCTTTGATAAACAAGAAGTCCGAAGTTACTTGGGGCGCAAGTAATCGATCTATCTCTTAGTTTTATTTCTATTATATTATGATTACAGTAGAACGTTTGAGTATAGAAAGAATTCTGATGGGAAGCCTCAAGGCCTATATCTAAGGCTCTACAAAGACACCTATTTGGATTCATTCTGCTCTTCGGGCTCGGATAATCAGAAGTATAATAGTTATAACACTTCTGCAATCAATGAAACAGACATCATATATTCGAGTGCTGGGTTAGTTCTTGATTTGAAGCCTCAAGGCCTACACCTAAGGCCCCACAAAGGCATCTGTCATAACTAACACAGCCTCTCAGGTATATGTACAACTAAGGGTATATGTACAACTAAAACTCAACATCCATTTTACATCTACCATGTTAAAGATGACAGTGGCACGCCTGAGCACTTAAAAGTTAATCTTGATTGTGAGCCTCAAGGCCTATACCTAAGGCCCCACCAAGGCACATTTCAAAGTTAACTATGTCCTTCTCTTTCAGCCTTGCCCGACAAGCCCGCCAGTGAAGCAGAAGCTCGACAGAAAGCATCAACCGGCACCAACCTCTCGGGGGGCTATGTGCTCGTCGGCTAGGAGACATCCCCGACAGAAAGTCTAGCCACGAACATCAACATCTTGCATTCTGTAGAAAATAAACTGGAAAAAAAATGTCATAATTCACACTAGCATTAGCAAACAAACATACTTTACAAGCTATTTCATTACTTTCTAATTTGGGTGTGGGTCTAACTTCAAGAAAATGAGACATAAAATACTTTTTTCATGGTTTACTCAATTGCCTCTAGTATTTAATTGAAGGAAGATAAATATTGAGCAGAAAACTGCACCAAAAAGACTTGAATCAGTAGAAAGTTGGCAAGTCTGAGGCTAAAATGACGATTTTGAACCTATTGCAGCGGTTTTTTTGTTTTAGCGGCGACTTTACTACTTTTAGTGACGACTTTTAGGTCTAAAACATGTTAAATGACTTTTAAATGACTTTTTGCGATAATAAATTCGTCACTCGTCGCCGCTAAAACTATATTATATGGCGATTGAAAGATCGCCGCTAAAAGGTCCATAAAAAATTAAATTCTTTCCTTCCCTCCCCGTTCAGGTAATATTTTGTTTTTTGAACGAAACCATTCATGTGACGTTTTTCGTCCAAATAACCTAATTTGGGGAACCTGTTTGAAGGCTTCATGTGCCTGACTGGTGATTTGGCTTCCTAATTAGTTATCGTACCTTCAAAGTTCATTACAACCATTTTAAATGAAATTTGGTAACGATTTCCTTGGCAGGTCTTGATCGCTTCGGATGATTATGCCTGGACGATTGAGACTCGCAAACCGGATATTGATCTGCCATTGCGACACATGGAAGCCTGCATATTCACCCAACCAAAGTTCCATTAAGCATCTCTCCAAACAAAACTTAAGCTAACAAATCAACTTTTGTAACAACAAAATATTCCAAACTAACACTTGCAATCGGAAAGAAACGACGTAAAACAATTCCAGCACATTACGAAAATCACTGCATAATACGAAAACAAGATGAGAGCAATGACATGCATTACCAAATATCTCCAGTCAAAACCAGTTAAAAATGAAAACTAATGAAAAGAACTTGAAAACTTTGAGTTTGAACGATAATGACAAAATGAAGAGTAAAGTGAATAGTACCAGGATTGACTTTTTAATGTAAAAATATGGTTTTTCGTTAAAGTGAACAGTATCGATGGCTTTTCGTTAAAGTTCCCTAAAATTTATTTTCAGCTTAGCATTCTGAAAGGACTAGGGTTCCAAACCTAGATAAGCATGTAGCCAGTTTCCAACTACTTACTCCACCGAAAGTAGACTACACGAGGAAAAAAAAAAGATACTGCATAACTGCTCCGACAACAGCGAAGATAAAACTAACAATGAACAGAAATTCAAACCTTAACACACAATTTTTTTGAGAAAAGAAACTATTGCACAGATATAAGGGACACAATTACCGAACAGCAGGAAACAGAAAAGACCAGACTAAATTGTAACACACTTAACTCTGATTCACACAGAGCACCGGGAGTCTGGGATACATGAGCATTGGAGGGGACCAGAACACAAGTGAATAGAACCCCACAAGCTATTAATAAGATATGTCACCGAATATTCGACTGATTTCCATACCTTGGCAAATACAACAAAACTGAATGACGAAATCTCAATATGCACCTGCAAACAATGAGATGCAAAACTCACACGGAAATTGATGTTTAAGTCCTAAATAAAACATGGAGACGTGAAGAAGTTCATTTGCCTCATAAGAACCCACCAAAAACAGACAGAATAAGCTCCTAAAATGTAAAGGCTTAAACATCTGCAGAACTTCAAACAGACACCAAATACGGGTCGCCATGACAGTATGAAATTCATGTTTCCCTAGGTGCATTACCAGTGCTTGTGTCATTTTATCATATACTTTTTTACAGCATTCATGATGATACATTGATGTGAAAGAACGAGAGAAACCATATAGACGCAAAATACATGCAAATCGAATGACAAAGTAAATGAGATACCAATCTTCAAACTTTTCGATAAAACACATTGAAACTCCATTAACATGTGAATATTCTCGTGTAGTACTTATCGATGAACTTGAAAACGGTGATCCAAACTTTCAGTTCTAATTTACTATGGTGATGGTCTAGTAGTATTCTTTTTCATTGTAAGTCGTAGGTCTTGGTCCGAATCTTACAGTCGTAGGTCTTGGTCCAAATCTCGTGGATGGAGAGTTCGATACCAATTTATTCCCGCACCTTTAGTGACCCTCTTGTATCCTACCATAATTACGAGCAAAAAACACAGATAAATTGCATGAAATTATCATCTAATTAGCCATTTATTTGCTTTGCATATAAAATCCTATCCAGCATGAACTGGCTTCCGAGAAATGAATACAATTGCATTTGCAAATCAATCAAAATTTAATTTAATTAGCCATTTATTTAACTAAATTGAATTAAATTATCAAAATAATTTAGAGAAATCCAAATTTCACAAAATATTGCATTGCTGAAAAGGATTAGGGTTTTACCAGAACGTTTCCGTGCGATTACGAAAGATTTAATCGCTTCCGCGCCACGAATCGTTGTAATCCATGCGATTAAGGGTCGTCGTTGATTTGATTCTTCTGAATCGGTTCGGCCGCGATCGCAGGGATCCGTTGCACGGCGTCGTTTTGGTCGTCAAACGTTCTGGAGCAGAGAGGGAAAAGAACGAGAAGGAGAAGTTGGGTTTTCTTGTGGCCCGACGGACGATGGTATTCGCTTAGGGGCCCATCTCATGTTTACAGACCCACTATTCTAAATCACTTTCTCCTTTTACCTCTTATTTTTTATTTTTTAAAAGAAAGTTTTCGTTAACGACAAGTTCGATACTATTCATTCTCATATTGTTTATTATAAATATATCGTTGTAAAAAAAAGTTGTTTGATTGATTATCAAATTGATTGACACTTCAATCATATTTTGCATAAATATCATATGGGTGATAATACCATCTGAACTTTCAATTTTTTTTTTATCACGTAGACTTTCTTAACAGTTGGAGTCTACCATCTAAAACCATTTATTTTGTCGTTAAAACATGTTACATGTAGGGATATTTTCGTCAATTCACTTCATGGGGTTGACTATAATCAAGTTGGTAATACTGCCTAAGTCAATATGGCGTCAAAATTTGGGGGTTTGTACAGCCCCAATCCTCTATAAGAGTTTGAAAAATTAATATTTAAATAAATTAAGGTGAACTATACACCCACTTGTTGAGCTACAAAAAAATATCTTGAAAACTCACTGTAAACGAAGGACTAGATTTTTGTGTAATTTTGACTCCAATTCTTCACACAGCCCTTGCCAAAATCAGACCCCAATCAACTTCTCATTTTCTCTTCATGACCTGACTTCAATGTCGCTACCAAAAAAAAAAAGTGTTTTGCTTTTGTACAAATTGACTTTAGCGTGCCCTAGGAAGTGAATTGACAAAAATAGCCCTCCACGAGAGGGCGTGTACATGTTTTAACGGTAGAATGAATGGAAAGTAACGTAGGTAGTAAATTCCAACAATTAAGAGAGTCCAGGTGATAAAAATTGAAAGTTTAGACGATATTGATGCACATGCTTGCAAGTTCAAACAGTGCTTTTGCAAAATTCCCTATTTTATTTGATAATCTATACATGCGACTTTCAACTATACTCCACTGAGACAAGATGATAAACTTGCTTTTCATCATGAAAGACTTCCTATGGTAATTATTATAATTTATTAACCCATCTTATCAGAGATTAGTGCAAGATGACATAATTCTTCCTCTACTAATGTCGTTTCAAAAACCATCTCCTCAAATATCAACTTAATAATTCAAAAAGGTGTGTGTATTTTGGATGACCAATAATTTACTAGGGAAGTGATCATCTGCCTAACTCATAAATAAAGCATTTCACTTGTATAATTAGAGAAAAATTTCAGGGGTGTGCTATCCACACATCCCTTTTTGCTTCTCACACACCTCTTGTTAATTTTTGTCCGTTGATCTTCTTTAATTCATCCGATCTGATGGCCGAAAACTAAAAAGGTGTGGGAGAAGTAAAAATGGGTGTGTGGATATCACACTTCATTTTTTCATTGTGACAAGAACATGGGTGGTACATTATATGTATTTATGTAAGTAGTGGAAATTTCTTTCTAAAGTTACTAACTTTTTAACACACATATCTCACTATTTATATGGTGATACGTGGTGCACAATCCCGTATGTCGGTCACGATGAAAAATCTCTCGTCCTGTTGATGAACAACAACTATTAACTAAGGCAATTAGTCAATGTTTTGTGGTTGTGATTTTCTTAAATATACTAGAACTTACTTGAACAATTATCACAAATTGAACACAAGATCATTACCTAACCCTAACTGGATTTCAATCATTTGGCACTACCTTCAGCACTAAATTGTCACCTCTAAGTTTATCAATTAGATATGTGAAATATTGGTTGATGTGACAAATCTCACTAGCTAAAATAATCACTTTTCATAATTTTATTGATATGTCGTTAATATTTGGTCGATAATTTCTTTAATATATGACGTTCTTATAAATTTCCATTCAACAAATTTCCTTGAAAACTAGACAAAAAGTACAAAAAAAAAAAATTGTGTGGCGAAAAAAGGTCAAAGAATAAAGGAGAAATTTCTAGGTTCGGCGGGTGGTGCCACTGTCTTACATGCAGATGAGTAGAGAAAATCTTGTGTAAGGGCATCCTAATCATGTCATTTGTGGGAGCTCTCTAGTTTAACTTAGTTCGCACTGATCTCATCTAATGTGAGAGTTGACTTAGTTAAATAATCTTGTCAAAGTTTTCATCTCTTATGGGGATCACAACCAAATAATGAACGTTCCTTACTTTCCGTAGTGGAGAGAGATTCTCTCTTACAACCTGATAATTAAATCTGTGTGTTTAAAACATAAACCACGTGTCCAATAAAGACTTTACCTCATGAATCGTGATAAAATCCGTGTGTTTAAAACATGAACCACGTGTCCAATGAAGACTTTACCTCATGAATCGTGATAAAATAGTTGTAAGAGAGAATCTCTCGTGTCACCGATTTACGGCAGCTCAACAACGGGGACTTCTACGCACCCCATTCTCGCAAAACGCATCATATGCCACGTCTGTGGACATCGCTGCATGCCTTACACTATGCAGTGGCTACGGTGCATAGTGTAGCAAGCAAGAGAATCAGAGAGGACATCTGGATAGCAGCAGTACTCAGTGGTGTGCTTTTGGTAATTTTTTCTGACCTACAGTAAATTTAATACAGTGAAAATCTTGGTCGCGTAGTGGGTCCCACTTTTGTTTACTTCCTCCTCCTCCTCTAATGAGGATCCTCTTCAGATTCCATTTATGAGAATTCCGGAGATCCTCAAATCGTGTTTCTTATTGTATATCGTACAGTTAATTTTCGTAAGTTACAGTTCATGTTTAATTTTAAATAAAAATATTTAAAATAATTTATAATCGCACGATATACGATGAACGAACATAATTTAAAAATCTTTAAAATCTTTATAAAGAAAATCATCTTTCTCTCATTCCTCCTCCTCTACCCTTTTGCTAAGAACAGAGCACTCACTCACTCTCTCTCTCTTGAAATGTTTCTTTAAACATATAGAAGTAAAAGATTATTTTTTTTGTTATAATAGTTTATTATTTGAAAAATTGGTTAAAATAATTAAAAAAAAATTGGTTAATGACATACAAAAAAATAATCATTTAACAATTGAAATTTGAAAACGAAAATGATCATTTTAGCTAGAGTAACACGAATGCATTATTTAAGATCACCAAATCTGCTTTAACGTACCGTTTGATTTTAAGAATTAAAAAAAAAATCAGGTCAGAACAACTACATAGGAAGGCATATATTCAAAAGAGATAAACTTGTTTTCTTCTCGTGTTTGAATTTATGTTTCGTTTATTTATAAAGACAAAGCAAAAAGTCTTCTCTTTCACTCGTTTTGATCATTTATTTTTTCTCTGTTCATCTTTCACACTTCTCCTACAGAGAGCCTTGGTTTTTCTTCACATCACATCCCAAATCAATCTCTTCATCCCACTTTTTTCCCGTTTTCCATCTTATTTACTTTTTTTAACATGAAAAGGAGTTAGACTTTTGAGCAAGTTGATATATGCAGCAGGTTCATTAGTAGAACGTTGTCTGTCGTCTAATAACCATTTCGTTTTCAGTTTTTAATTAATCCGCAACTATTTCTTTCTCTTGGATACTCCACGATCTGATCTTGACAAGGTTTTTTAGAGTTTAGAGAGAGAGAGAGAGAGAGAAAGAGAGAGGGAGAGAGAGAATGGAGGAGGTTGAGGCAGCTAACAGAGCAGCAGTTGGGAGCTGCCACAGAGTTCTCAATCTCTTGTGCAAACCAAAACCATGGAAAAACCTGCAGGTGGAGACTGAGGTGGCAGTGTTAAAGTTCAAGAGAGTCCTCTCTCTCCTCAGCCATGGAAGAGGAAGAGTGAGAAAGTTGAAGAAGAACCTAAACCCACCACCTTTCCCTCAAAATATCTTCTCAGATGGCCCTAATTATTCAGATATTTCACCAAAACCCCTCCAGTTACTCCCTCCTATTTTTCCTAAAACCCCCCACACACAAAAAAAATTTCTAGGAAACCCAGTTCCGGATGCTAATCTCAAGCTTCCCCTCCAAATTCCCAAAACAATAACTATGAAGCAGCACCAGGAAGAGAGAGAAAAGTTGCAGTTTCACCCCCAGCAGGTGAAATATCAGAGTGAAATGGTGTTTTCTGGGATAGACAGTGGCATCAACCTTGCATTTGATAGGTCTAGCTCTAGCTTCAACCCCTCCATGACATCAGCCAGATCGTTCATGTCATGTTTGAGCGTAGGCGACGGCGATGAGGTCAACACCGGCAGAGATTCTTTTCGGTTGATCGATGGCGTGCCTTGGGTTTCCGGTCAGAGTTCGCAGCAGCAAAGGAGGTGCACTGGTGTGGTGGAAAATGGGAGTGTGAATTGCGGCGGCAGTGGTAAATGCCACTATCCCAAGAAGAGGTGAGTTTTATTCTGAAAAAGAAAGAGGTGAGTATTATTCTGAAATTATCGCTTTCAAGATGGGTGTTCTTTTTATCTATTTTGAAACAAACGATATTCTATCTTAAACTAATCTAAATTGCGGGTTGAGGCTTCAAACTTGGTTGCATAGCGGGAGCAGATCCGCTCTAGCCAAAGCGCTTGAACTAATTTTGTTTTTGTTAACAGGAAACTGAGGGTGAAAAGAACTTTTAAGGTCCCTGCCATTAGTGACAAGACTTCAGACATTCCTCCTGATGAGTTTTCGTGGCGGAAATACGGGCAGAAGCCGATCAAGGGCTCCCCGTACCCAAGGTAACGATTCTGTTTTCGCTACTCAACATGCTTCTGTAGTTCATATGGTTTGTTTCAGTCTGGCTTATGAAGGGTATTGATGTAGGGGATACTACAAATGTAGCAGCATAAGAGGGTGTCCTGCGAGGAAACATGTAGAGAGATGCTTTGAAGACCCTGCTATGCTCATAGTCACCTACGAAGGCGAGCATAAGCATTCCCAATCCGCCCGCTGAGGCATTGGCCTGGAATAACGCCATAGACACCCCGTTGCAGGAAAGTTCTGGCTGTGAAGTGCATCCTTGTACTTGTAGTATTAACATTGAGCTTCAATCGGAACAAACTTAGGCTAACTAGTATTTCATGTAAAATGTAAATTGAGTTGATGGAAAGCGTTATTTTTAACGTTCAATTCTTTTGAACCCTCGTTATCAAAACCAAAATTCTCCTATGACATGCACCGGATAGATGAAGCCTTGAATGTACAGTCAAGGATCCAACAGCAATTTAAGGATCACAACATGAAACACATTCAGATACTAATAAACTTGATTGAAAGAGAATCTTTATCCGATAAATCCTACAAGCCGGTCGACTTTGACATTGTTTACAGAACGATAAAACATTCAAAAGATATCGATAAAGGAAAATCCAAATCCATAACTTAATTAAAGGGTCTCAACATCTGATATCAGGGAACAAGTGATCAAGGAGGAAGTAGAAACTTCACTTGAGGGGAATGAACCTGGAAGAGTGAGTGGCACCAATACCGGGCCTTCCGTGCTTGACAGGCTTGTAACTTATGGAGAACTCAGCAAGATAATGACTGATCATCTCAGGCTTGATCTCAACCTGGTTGAAGGTCTTGCCGTTGTACACACCAATGATGCTACCAATCATTTCAGGTACGATGATCATGTTCCTGAGGTGAGTTCTAACAGGCTCCGGTTTCTCACCAGGTGGGGCCTCCCTTTTCTATTCCAAAACGCATGGAAAACCAATAATAAATACACAGATACGCTCACAATAAGTTTGCTCTTAAATAAATAAAAATGGCAAGGCAATAGAGTTAGAACAAACATTCGTAACGAAAAAAGTAAATGATTGCAGATGTTAAACTTGTTGCAATACGTCCTAGAACATGAATTACTTAAAAGACTCTCAAGAAGGCACCGATAGCAAATCAAATAACAATTAGAGATTTTCGTTGGGGCGTCTACATAAATGAATCCTGCATCCATTGATACAAATTAAGTTCATCTACTTCACCACTCATACTACAAAAAAGGTCGTACCCAGTGCACAAGGCTCCCGCTTTACACAGGGTCTGGGAGAGGTGAATGTCGGCTAGCCTTACCCCCATTTATGGAGAGGCTGCTCCCAAGTCTCGAACCCGAGACCTACCACTCATACTACAAAAGAGACTAAATTTAAACCAAGATAAAATGAATTTCGATTTCGTTCATTTCTAGCTTAGTTCTATATGAACTTCTCAATCATCGCAAGACACTATTCCGGATTTATAAGCTGAGACAAATAATTCCGGATTTATAAGCTGAGACAACTAATTGATCACAAATTTAAAGCATAATTCTTGATTCGAAACACCACATTAATCGATTAATCCAAACACGAAATTAATGACAAAAGCCAAAAAAAAAAAAACTGAAACAATTGCCGAAAAGATAAGAATTCTTACAGCTTTGCGAAGCTTCTTGATCAAAGCCATTGGCTTTCTCTTCAAACCTCTCTGGAACCTGAACCCATTTCATCACCCCACCGAAACAGTACAGCATTCAGCATAACCAAAACCAAAACCAATTGTACAAACTAACAAGTATAAATAGATATATACATACATCTATACATACAAGTACAGGTATTTATACATATTTATTCGTAGATTCACAATCTGCATGTACCTTCTGCGAGCCCTGGCAGGGAAGAGCTTGACAAGCTCATCAGTCGACATATCGAGAAGCGCATCCAAATCTACGCCTCTGAAGCTGAACTTCTTGAACGTCCTCTTCTTTGGGACTCCTGCCGCCGCAACGTCAGCCTCCACATCCGCCTGGCCAACAAACCACCGCCGCGAGCAGTCAGATTGATTCCCGCGAAAAATCGTACACAAAAGTTATAAAATTGGAAAACAGAAATGCGTGATTGAGAAATGTTAAGGGGGTTTGAGCTCACCATGTTTTGCTGAAGACGAAGAAAAACCCTAATTCGCAGAGGGAGAGAGGGAGGGAGAGAGAGCGAGAAAGAGAATCGGCGACTGGCGGAGTTGCAGTGGAAGTGGGGAAATTAGGGTTTTTATGTTTGGGTTTATATAGGTCCTCGATTTAACGGGTTATTTGCTGGAGCTTTGGAGGAGTCGGATCCGCCCCGAATATCCGTATCTCCACGGGTACTAGACTATAGAGTCCGTTCTGGTCCTCTCCCGGGCTTGCCTATCAAGTTTGGGCCTATTGGGATTGTTTAGTTATAATTGGTTGCTTTTTGAAAAGCTTAAAAGCAGAATTTCTAGTGGAACTTTAATGGAAAGATCTCGATACTATTTATTTTAAAGAAAAATCATATTTTTATATTAAAAAATTAATCATGTTACTATTTATTTTACCCTTTATTTTGTCCTTATCATTAAAAGTCAAAATTTTCAAGTTATTTTCATTAGTTTTCGTAATTTCTAACAGTTAAAAGTGTTGTTAACAAGGTTTGATGAAAAAATAGAAATTTCGAGTATAGAAGCACTTCTAGCAAAAGCGCGATCATCATAAGTGTTATTTATAAAAGCAACCCTAAACAACCTCTCTTTTTTTTCTTTTTCTTTTTTTCTTATTGTTAAGTTTCTCCATGTTTACATGTTTACCTTATACACAAAGTTGTTTCGTCTTCCAACTTGGCTCCTTCGTATTGAGTTGTTGTTGGAGCGTCTAACCAACGATTATTTCCAATCTAAGGCATGACTTGGTAGTTAAGGAAGTTGCCTTAGCTTAACCAATCTCTTGAATAATTGCATTTTTAGAGGCCAAATAAAGCTTCTAGCCCCTAACCCTTGCCCTTTCCACTAGACTTGCTCTTAAATCCACATTCTAATGCCTAGAAAGTAAGGAATCATTTCTACAAGAGGGACTAGCTAGTTGATTCCATACCGACTTTACAAAGTAAGTAAATGTGTCATTAGTAGCGGAGTCAGTTTGAGGTCAATGACTGCTCATGACTCCAACAGCTTCCTAATCTCGAACCCAACTAAAGAGAGAGTGAACAATGTTGAAGTACAACCTATTATTGCTTCTTCCTTCTCCATTTTTCTTCTTTATTTACTGTGTCTTTCCTTCTCCTTTTTCTTCTATGCAACCCAATGGTGCATTCTCAATGTAATGCTTCACTTAAAAAGTCTTGGCAAGTAGGTCTTGACAATCTGCTAGCATGGATACATCTTGACAGAAGCAAATGCCAGAAGAACACAACAACTATCAATAGATGTTGTCACAAGCTTTCGACAATGCTGGTAGATTTTGATAGGTGTCGACAAAATGCTCGACAGAATTGTGCAATGAATTTTGTTTTTTTCGAACTTTTGATCCCTTTGTTGTAAACTCTGCCACTACATGTCATAAAGAGTGTTCACGCTTCTTATCTTAAAATTGGTAAATAATTTTTCCTATAATATTATAAGAAAACAACATTGGTGGATCAATTAAATCTAGTGTATGCCATCGTTGCTTTATAAGAAATTTCTCAATGTTCATTTTGATGTTCTCCTTGAGTGACATGGCACGACGCCTGAAAGCTAAAAAAAAACCGAGGCAGGGTGGGAAGCCAAATGGCTGGTTTGGTATTGATGTGCTTTAAATAAAAAAGCTACTGTGTGAATAAGCGGCTGTGCTGTGAGAATAAGCGGCTGTGAAATAAAGCAGCAGAGTGTTTGGTAAACTTTTTGTAAAAGTGCTTTTGAAAAAACAAAAGTGTTCGGTAAACTTTTATGTAAAACAGCTGTGACTGTGTGAAATGACCAAAAAGGGTATAATACTATATGTACTATTAATTTAATTTTCTTAACAAATAAAAGTGAATTAATAAATATACTTTATTTTTAAAAAAGAAATATTTATAAACTTTATCTTAAATATTAATTAGTATGACAAACTACTTCAATTGAAATATTTTAGACTGAATAGCTAGGATTCATTAGTACAATATTGTTAATGTACTTGAAAGTAATCTAATTAGATGCATTCATGAAACTTGCTGCTATTCTATTTCTTAATGCTTCTATCTCATGGGATCCTTCAACTTGATAATTTTGGTATTCTTCATCATCATCATCACTACTATCGCTCTCTTCACAATAGTCAATGGGGTCATCAAAATGACGATCACGTTCAGAATATCTCCGTTTGTAGTTATGAAGAGCCATTGTAGCAATGACAATCTTGACTTGCTTATTGAACGGGTAATTAAGCATATCCCTTAAAATTGCCCATCTTTTCTTCCATACCCCAAAAGTTCATTCAATGATGCTCCTTAGAGAAGAATGCATGTGGTTGAATACCTCTATATGACCCGTTGGTTCGGGACCCCTACGAAAATCTGGGCGATGATATCTTTCACCTTTATATGGTCCCAAATAACCTCTCATTTGTGGGTACCCCACATCTACCAAATAATATTTTCCTGAAAATTGAAAATTTTGTTTTGTATTGTAATAATTATACAAAGTGAGTATGTAAATTGTTATAAATAAGTATGAAGATTATCATTTGGAGGCTTTGGAAAGTTTAAATTTGGATTCCGTAACACGGATAAAAAAAACCTTTGTATCATGTGCAGTGCCTTCTCATCTGGCATAAGCAAATGTGAATTGCATGTCAAAATTACACGCAACCATAACATTTTGTGTCGATATTCCTTTCCTACCAATGTATGGAACTTGATCCGGAGGTGGTATTGAAGTCTCAACATGTACTCCATCTATGACACCAATACAATCCTAAAAATAATAACATAGAATAAAATCGTCAACCTACACTTATAGTTTGCAAACATTACAAATAAGTTAGAAGACGAGTCAAACTTTACCTTAAAATGAGGCATGTATCTTGTATCTCTCCTTATTTCTTGGGGAATGCCACGAAACTCAAAATCCATCGGTTTGATAATATCTATTGTCATCTTACATACGATATCTAACATAACACCAAAATATCTACTAACAGTCTCCCCAGAATGTTGAAATCTCTCTTGCGCTAATCTATTTTTCACACCATGTCCCAACATATGCAAGAACATTCATAATATTTCAATTGCATTCATTTTCCTTGAACCTTTCAATCCATAATTAGTTTGCAAGTCATTGGATAATCTATAAAAGACATCTTTGTTCATCCTAAACATTCTATAGCATCGCACATGATTTCCTTGTAGTACTTCCATTAACCAAATATTACCTGTTTGGGAAGAATTCATACACAGACTTTTGTGGACATATTTTAAATAATATGTTTCAACAGCTCTCGTTACAGCGCATATAATTACACCATTCTCTAAATCCTGAACATCATCATCAGAGGTATTCATATTGAATATACACCTGTAACCTAACACATAATTCAACATTCCACAAGTCATAATCCAACAATCACCAAGAAGTCATACTCCGACATTCAAGAACAAGTCATTGTTCAACATTTAACAAGAAATCATAATTCAACATTCAACATATAATCCAACATTCAATAAACATGTAGCAACATTCAATACATAATTTTAATGCAAAGTACAAACCACACATATAATCCTAATTCATAGTTTTAGGCTTTTAGTTCCCTATTGTTCTTTGTTGAACATATATTTCAACCAAGTTAGCTGGACTTCAGGATCTTTCATCGTGCCAAACACCTATCGCTTCTCTGCACTGCAAAATAAACATGTAGCAAAGTTTTGCAACACCTCCAATTTTTTCCCTTTCTTGTTTTGCAATTCTCCTTGGTTAGCCGTTCTTTTTTTTCCATTCCTACTAGCTTGCCTTATATCCTGCATGGTCTCAATTTCATCCTCATCATCTGAATTAATTTGTCCTATAGATTCATTTCTTGTATCTAGTGGTAGTACTCCAGAGGAAGGTGCCCAGGCATGTTCACCGGTAGCAACTGTGTTCGAGAACATCCTATCTAACTCGTCCTCCATCTCAGGACTAATGCCCTTTTTTTGGAATTTTCCATATTCTTTGTTTATCTACAAGTAAGAAAGAATATGGTTAAGACATATTGCATGATATCATAATACATATTAAAAGATAAATACACAAACCTGAATTTTATTATTCCACCACTCATCAGAGGCATCAACGGTACCCTTGCTTGAATTCCACCCTAGGCCAGTTTCTTTACCAACTAGCTATTTCCACAACTTCCACTCATTTTTAAGTGCATCCCACTTATTTTTAAGTTGCTTTCTTTCATAATCATGCCCTGTTTCTACCTTGAAGTTAGCTCTAATATTTGCATATCCATCTTTGTCAAAGTGAGTGCCTAGACGATGTCCGGCCTCAACCTCCTTGATGCAAATATCACAAAATATAGATATATTGTGGACATTCCATGTAGCAATAGGATTTGACGAAGATGCCCCCTTCTTTGCCATCGATACCAACTAGTGATTTGTAATATAACCAAGAAATAACCAATAAACGATCCAACTACAAAAGATTACATCACAGTTTGGGAAAAAAACTGGACCATTAATCACAGGATTAAATTTTAGAACCGGTTATAACTCATTAAAAGATCAATGTTTATTGGAATACAAACACATGCTTATATGGATACCCCACAAGTTTACCAAATGTAATTTTAGTCCGTGTGATTTTCCATACAACCATTTGTTATACAAGACTACTTGGACACAACAATTTACGACCATTAAAGCATTCTAGACTAAATAAACATTTCACCACACTAATTCATTAAGTGGAAGTTAGTTTGAACAGAAGAGAAAACTTATAATAAAAAGGACCACATTATTGAAAGAAAAAAAAATATGTTAATTAACATATAAGTTTGAAAAGTGGTTCGATTATTCTTTGGAATTTCAGAATGTAATGTCAACTATCCTTGAAGAATTCACACGATGAACCATAAAAATACATGAAACTTCATTAACACATAGATCAACCATAAAAATACATGAAAATTCACATGATGAATAAGATAAAAATATTCACTTGACTATTATTATTTTTTTAGTAGACAAGAAGACTGAGAAATGATCTAATCCTAATCTCTGAAAACCCTTGTTTCAAGTAAGAGCTGAAAGCCAAACCAACAAACACTAAAAAACCTAAAAGAAAAGAAGATGAACACACCAGAACATATAAACACCATAAAAGTGAAGCCCACTGTAGCATGGATCCAGCCAGAGAACAAACAAGCTAAACAGTTCAAACATTCATAAGAGGTACAATCAATAATAATGGGGACACCCTCTTGACTTCTATAACCAAGAAGTATTATTTGTCTGTTACACCATTTTCTTCAAAAACATTAGGCATGTGTGTGTGTGTGTGTATTTTCATCGAGTGGTTACAAGTTCATCTGCAAGATCGAAATCTAATCTTGGCTCCTAATCTCCAAAGAATGACAAGTCATTAATCCTCCCTTGTCCTAGGCTAGACCAAAAAAGCTCAATATAAGTGGTTTCTTTCTTCTCACCTGCAAACACTCCATGCTCAAATTTAACAGAAATCAGCTACCCTAATTTCATTCTTTCAAGTTTTGGTCTTCTACTTTAATCCTTAGGTTTCATGAGAGGATATGTACCACTACATTCAAACACAAATTACACAATCGAATATGATCACGAAAATTACAAAATGCTTGAAAGAAAACTCATTTCAAGTGCAAACTAATACGTAAACACATAAACCAAATACCATTTAAATGCAATCATAAAACATATTTATCAAAAACATGAAATCCGAATTTTGTACCAAGACAAAAATAACCCACCTGTTCGAGTACAGCCTCAGCGATGTCCTCAGAAACCCACTTCCTTCCAAAGAGATAAGATACGAACACTGACAAAGGGATGACAAATCAGAAGCACATTTCACATATCAGAACCAAAGCAAAGCTTTATAAAAAAATATTCTTTACCTAAACCCAAATCAGAAGCAGACCTTCTCAATTTTTCTTGTTTCCTGCACAAACCCTAATTTTTTCCCCAATTATTTTTTTCCCAATTATTTTTTTCCACAAACCATATCACCTCCCACAATTAATTTTTCCCCACCCTCCATCCCCAATTGTTTTTCCCAACACCCATACCCTCATCCCTTTGCTCTTCCCACCTCTTTTTCCCTCTCCCATCCCCAAAGTTAAAAATCCAAACAAATAAATAAATAAAATTTACAAGAGAAGCTTACCAAACTAACTTGGAGAACGAGAGAACAAGGGAGAACGCTGGTTTTGGAACGAGAGAACGAAAGAGATCTGGTTTCCTGGTTCGGGTATGCGAGAAGAGAGTAGACGAAAAAGCAAATTTGCATTACTGAAGGCGAGAAAGGCGGAGAGCTGCGACTGTAAGGAATGAGGGCAATTTTGGATTATTGAAAAATTCATTAAACCTACACTGTTCACCCGTGTTTTTGGTTTGGGAAGCTGCAGTTGTTTTTGGGAAGCTGCAAATAGCAGCTTCAGGTTTTGGGCTTCTTTTCACCTTAAACTTAAAAAAAAAAAAAGCTGCATTTGGAAAATTTACCAAACACCTAAAATCCTTCTAGCTTTTTTTTCACCCTAGCTTTTTTTTTAAGCACATCACTCCCAAACTGCACCAATGACAAGTAAATGCGAGCTTATCCTGCCATGTGAAGAAAAGTTTATGAATCTTCCACTAAGTGCCCTTAAAAGAAAGGATTTCCATTTTTTTTAAATGGAATTGTGACGCTCACACCAGATCGAACTTCAATGATTTAAACCGTTTATTTTTTAAGTTGCACCTCATAGATCATTCTTGCAAAATATTAGTCAATTCGAAAATATTTGAGACATCTAATTAAGTTCAAAGAAATTGACGAACACTTTGTTTTTTTTTTTTTTTTTGGTTACAAACACTTTTTTTTAATACATCGATATTTTTACACTAAGGAAAATAAGAGTTCGGCTAAGCCACACAATGGGTAACCTAATTTGGTATCGAATTCGCCATCCACGAAATTCGAACCCAAAACCTCTCACTTCCAAGTGAAGAGGAATACCACTAGACCTTAGTACTAAGTGGCCGAACACTTTGTTCTGTAAGAAACAAGTAAATAGGCAAATGTTTCGGATTGAAATGAATTTTTGCAAGGATAATCTATGAATCGAGATTAACAAAAAAGAACGTTCGAATCGTTGAAGTTCGATGTGAAGTGGGTCCCACAACTAATTCCTTTGAAGAAAAAAAAAAAGAATCTCTTCCCTTAAAGGATCTGATACACTTAAGCATTTGGGATATATACTTATTAAGCCGTGAAACTCCTCACCTACCCAAAATTAAAAAGTGAATTTTTCGGTCTGCGTTGTGCCAACACACACGTCTTGGTGAATTTATCAACCCCGACCTCTCGGCAGAGTTACATTTGTGCCTTCCCTATTTTCTTACATTTTCCATTTGTATAGGTTACTAGATTTCCTGAAAACGAAACAATGAGTGAACAATCAAAATTGAACAAGCACCTTTTGGCTAATGCAATTGTGATTAGTGAATTTTCATCGTACATATGCCATTATTGAAATCATTAATTTTTAAAAACATCGCTTAGAGATCATCTCTGTATTAAATCAATCAAATTTGCAATCCTTTACTATCTCATATGTATTGAACAAATCGACAATTTTTGTAACAATTAAGATTTTTATACAATGAGCAGCTGATTTAGAAGAAAATGTCATATGCGCTTAATGAAAGGTAACTATGGAAGGACAATACTTCTCTCATATCCCACTAATATGCATGTCATCATTTCACCGTACAATAAGAAAAATCGGAATCGTTTATTCTCTTTATCATCATCCACATAGCATCTCTAGAAAGCTCTATTTCATTCTGATACCATTTAGTCATCCATATTTTAATATGTGATGAATCGTCAATTTCTTTTATTCAAATGGATGACTAAACAATTTTCAAATCAAATGAATTTGTATAGAAGTGGTTTTTAGATGATAGTAATTAGAGAATGAACAATTTTGATATTAATGTTTGTATGATGAAATGATGTCATGTTAGTAAAAAAAAGAGGAAAATCATCAAGAAAGAGATGTATTATACAATCTGGAATGGCTACATTGTTTTGTGTGGTTCCTCAAAGAACACCTCAAACATGAGTCGACTTGTGCTGGATGAATTAAATCATAACAAATTATAGACATGCTTGTGTTCATATGAAAATTAGGTATCACAAACTATCACACTATTCAAAATATGTTCAACTTCATCGTCCTTCTGATCGGCATTTCGTGACTCATTCGTTGTCAGAATTTCACGATTCTTGAACCAATTCACTCCTCTAACGATCCAAGACCAAAAAATAGAAAATGTATTTAAAACATTCTCGTAAAATCTAATCAAACCCAAACAAACTCCAAAGAAACCCTAGTTTTGACCAATCCATCTTCAAATCCAAATTTCTCCCAATCCAAAATTCCAAATCCACCAACCAAACACTCATTAGAAAGCTCACGTTCTAACCTTCACAACCATCAAAATCTCACTAAAATCCATCAACTACCCAAAAAATTACACCCATTACAAATCAACTCAGAAACACAACCTAAAATCCCCTTTCAAATATTTGACAACCCAAACAAAATGTAGCCTTCAAACAAAAGCATAAGCGGTCAATCCTATCCGAGTCACGCCCAAAACTCTCATCCCAACCGCAGATAACCCCTCGATCTGACGACCCGAATTTAAACACTTGCAGATTTCTCGATCCGGATAGCACTGCTCTCGACCAATCAGCGCTCAGCACCTACCTTTCACCTCCTCCCCCTATAAACCACCTTCGCCCCAAACTTGTATTTCACATTTCCCGTTTTCTGTTTCTCTCCATCCAAAATCCGTAAAAACCGTTCCGATTCCGCTTCCGAGTTCATCGTGTCAAACCGCCGAGTCAACGACCATGACTGGAACTGACGTCTCCGCCGCCAAGGCCAAGAAGGCGAGGTCTCCGCCCGCACACCCGCCGTTCGTCGAGGTACGTGATCGGAAAATCGGTATTCTGGTTTAGTTTACGATGTTGCCGTCTGTTTTGTGTTTTCGGAGGCTGATTGCGACGTCGTTTTTGTGGTTTTCAGATGATCACGATGGCGATTGTGGCGCTGAAGGAGAGGACGGGGTCGAGCCAGTACGCGATCACCAAGTTCGTGGAGGAGAAGCACAAGAATCTGCCGCCGACCTTCAGGAAGCTTCTGCTCTACCATTTGAAGAAGCTCGTGGCTGCCGGAAAGCTCGTCAAGGTGAAGAACTCGTTCAAGCTGCCTCCGGTTCGCGGCGCCGCTCCGGTGAAAGAGAAGACGGCCGCTGCACCGAAGCCTAAGAAGGCGGCGGTGGTCACCAAGCCGAAGACCAAAGCGGCTGCGAAGCCCAAGGCGAAGGTTGCG